TGTCAGGAAGAGACTGGGGAGCAACCAGAGTATCACTGTTAAATATATATCAGACTATTATGAGAGCAACACTAGGCTACGGGTGTATAGGGTATTTATCAGCAGCAGAAAGTCATCTTAAAAAGCTGGATGTACAGCAGGCACAGGGACTGAGGATATGTAGTGGAGCATTTAAATCCTCTCCAGTAGCAGCCATACAAGTGGAAATGGGGGAACAAACTTTACGGATCAGAAGAATGAAACTTATGTTAGCATACTGGGTCAGTCTTCAAGGGCATAGCATTTCCCACCCTGCTAAAGCCATCCTGGAGGACTGTTGGGAACATAATGACATAATGAAAAATGGATAGGGAACATAAAGGCAGAACAAGCAGGTTTAGGTCATATACAATTCAGTCCAACAATCCCTTATTCAAATACTTCTCCCTGGCTATTTGTAGAACCATCAGGAAACCTAGAAATACAGCAACAGCTGAAGAAAAGGAGTAAGCAAGTCTCTCCTGGGAGGGTAGCTCAGGGTTATCTGGAACAACACTTCTCAGACAAAACAATGATTTTCACTGATGGGTCAAAAGACCCTGATACTGGACGAACAGGAGCTGCAGTTTTCATTACATATCAAGAAAAGAACCACAGATCATTTATCAGTATATACAGTGGAGCTTTCAGCTATTAAATTAGGTTTGGAGTGGACAGAAGAAAACAACCATAACAACACACTAACAGCATCAGACAGCTGGGCAGCACTTACAAGTATCAAAACCATGAAGTCATGTAGGCAAGGTGTCATAATTGAAATACACAATCTGCTGTACAGAATACACAAGAGGGGTCTGATGGTCTGCTTTATTTGGGTTCCTGCCCATGTAGGAATAGAAGGAAATGTAGGGGTTGATATTCTGGACAAACAATCACTTAAATCACACACTGTAAATGCAGAAATTCTGCTAAGTAGGGCAGAGGGTAAATCAATAATTAAGAAACATGCGAGAAAAGTATGGCAAGAACACTGGGACATCCAAGACACGGGAAGACACGTATATAATATACAGAAACAGGTTGGGTTGGGAAGAAGGATGGGCAGGGGCCAGATGGAAGAGGCAGTCATCACACGACTTAGGATAGGGCACACAGGACTGAATAATACACTACATAAAATAGGTAAACACCCTGATGGCAAATGTAATCACTGTGGTCAGTCTGAATCTGTCCAGCATGTTGTGTAGAGCATATGAGGAGGAAAGGAGGGCACTGATAACAGCAGCAGAGAAGGCCAAGATATGTTCATGATAAGTGTAGGGAACCTGCTCGGAGTAGAGTCAAATAATATACTCAAACATTTAATCATATATATAAAAGATACAAGGCTGATGGAGAGGATTTAATTTCCCTTTTTTTTTTTGGTTTGGTTTTGTCTGCAAATCTACTGTCCCCCACTCCAGTCCAGTAGGTGGCGGTAATGCACCTTCAAGTTGGTTGCCAACCGTCAATAAAGAAGACGAAGAAGAAGAAGAAGGAAAAAGAAGAAGGGTACGTCCCAGGTCCCTTAAATTTACTGCTAACCACCTAACCTAGCCACCTTACCTAACTGTTTAGTCCCTCCCACTTAGGAAAACATTTAAGGAGTCAGGAGTTAGGAGTGACGAGCGAGGATTGCTGATTAGAGACATGAGACAGCCTTACTCTGAAGCGTCACGTAAAGTGACGTCCTTTTCTGGTGACGGCGGCACAGCTGGATCTGCTGCATAACGGAGCCAGCGTTTGGCGTACATCCCAAGTCACATTATATTCTGTTAATTTATTATGCTGATCTGTTCTGTACGACATCTATTGCACGTCTGTCCGTCCTGGAAGAGGGATCCCTCCTCAGTTGCTCTTCCTGAGGTTTCTACCGTTTTTTCCCCGTTAAAGGGGGGGTTACGGCTTTGATCAGCGAATATAATGTGACTTGGGATGTACGCCAAACGCTGGCTCCGTTATGCAGCAGATCCAGCTGTGCCGCCGTCACCAGAAAAGGACGTCGCTTTACGTGACGCTTCAGAGTAAGGCTGTCTCATGTCTCTAATCAGCAATCCTCGCTCGTCACTCCTAACTCCTGACTCCTTAAATGTTTTCCTAAGTGGGAGGGACTAAACAGTTAGGTAAGGTGGCTAGGTTAGGTGGTTAGCAGTAAATTTAAGGGACCTGGGACGTACCCTTCTTCTTTTTCCTTCTTCTTCTTCTTCGTCTTCTTTATTGACGGTTGGCAACCAACTTGAAGGTGCATTACCGCCACCTACTGGACTGGAGTGGGGGACAGTAGATTTGCAGACAAAACCAAACCAAAAAAAAAAAGGGAAATTAAATCCTCTCCATCAGCCTTGTATCTTTTATATATATGATTAAATGTTTGAGTATATTATTTGACTCTACTCCGAGCAGGTTCCCTACACTTATCATGAACATATCTTGGCCTTCTCTGCTGCTGTTATCAGTGCCCTCCTTTCCTCCTCATATGCTCTACACAACATGCTGGACAGATTCAGACTGACCACAGTGATTACATTTGCCATCAGGGTGTTTACCTATTTTATGTAGTGTATTATTCAGTCCTGTGTGCCCTATCCTAAGTCGTGTGATGACTGCCTCTTCCATCTGGCCCCTGCCCATCCTTCTTCCCAACCCAACCTGTTTCTGTATATTATATACGTGTCTTCCCGTGTCTTGGATGTCCCAGTGTTCTTGCCATACTTTTCTCGCATGTTTCTTAATTATTGATTTACCCTCTGCCCTACTTAGCAGAATTTCTGCATTTACAGTGTGTGATTTAAGTGATTGTTTGTCCAGAATATCAACCCCTACATTTCCTTCTATTCCTACATGGGCAGGAACCCAAATAAAGCAGACCATCAGACCCCTCTTGTGTATTCTGTACAGCAGATTGTGTATTTCAATTATGACACCTTGCCTACATGACTTCATGGTTTTGATACTTGTAAGTGCTGCCCAGCTGTCTGATGCTGTTAGTGTGTTGTTATGGTTGTTTTCTTCTGTCCACTCCAAACCTAATTTAATAGCTGAAAGCTCCACTGTATATACTGATAAATGATCTGTGGTTCTTTTCTTGATATGTAATGAAAACTGCAGCTCCTGTTCGTCCAGTATCAGGGTCTTTTGACCCATCAGTGAAAATCATTGTTTTGTCTGAGAAGTGTTGTTCCAGATAACCCTGAGCTACCCTCCCAGGAGAGACTTGCTTACTCCTTTTCTTCAGCTGTTGCTGTATTTCTAGGTTTCCTGATGGTTCTACAAATAGCCAGGGAGAAGTATTTGAATAAGGGATTGTTGGACTGAATTGTATATGACCTAAACCTGCTTGTTCTGCCTTTATGTTCCCTATCCATTTTTCATTATGTCATTATGTTCCCAACAGTCCTCCAGGATGGCTTTAGCAGGGTGGGAAATGCTATGCCCTTGAAGACTGACCCAGTATGCTAACATAAGTTTCATTCTTCTGATCCGTAAAGTTTGTTCCCCCATTTCCACTTGTATGGCTGCTACTGGAGAGGATTTAAATGCTCCACTACATATCCTCAGTCCCTGTGCCTGCTGTACATCCAGCTTTTTAAGATGACTTTCTGCTGCTGATAAATACCCTATACACCCGTAGCCTAGTGTTGCTCTCATAATAGTCTGATATATATTTAACAGTGATACTCTGGTTGCTCCCCAGTCTCTTCCTGACAAGCATCGTAAGAGGTTGTTGACTTGTCTTATCCCTTATTTTATCAATGTGATACTTCCAAGTCAACTTTTCATCCAGCCACATACCCAGTAATCTAATGACCCTGACCTGCTCAATTGTTTGGCCATACAGTTTCAAGGAGATCTCTTTGTGATGTCTGGAAAAACATATTCCTTGTGTCTTTGCAACTGATAGTTTAACTTCTATTGTTCTCCCATACATGAACTCTGATACCCAGTTGTACNAAACCATTTCAGGTGACTACCTCTTGAAGCTCATGGAGAGAATGCCAAGAGTGTGCAAAGCAGTAATCAGAGCAAAGGGTGGCTATTTTGAAGAAACTAGAATATAAAACATGTTTTCAGTTATTTCACCTTTTTTTGTTAAGTACATAACTCCACATGTGTTCATTCATAGTTTTGATGCCTTCAGTGAGAATCTACAATGTAAATAGTCATGAAAATAAAGAAAACGCATTGAATGAGAAGGTGTGTCCAAACTTTTGGCCTGTACTGTATATATATATATGTCTATAGTCTGTTGCTATGGCGTGGTGGTTGGTGACAAATTCTGTCTTAATAACAAGGTAAAAGAAGTTTCGTTTAAAATTTTACATCAAATCTACCCTGCAAAAAAAACACTAGAAAGATTTAAACTGGACATTGAATATGTGTGTGATTTCTGTGGATGAAACCATCTCTCACTTATTTTATCAGTGTACTTACAGTAGAACTTTTTGGAAAAATGTTCAATATTTTGTGCAAGAGAAAACAGGAAGAACGATCAGTTTCCAGGAAAAACACATTTTTATTTATTTTGATGACCAAGACAAAGATTTGTGTTTTTTCTGTCAGCTGATCTTGAGTTTGGGGAAATTTCACATCCATAAAAATGGGTCAAATCTAAACCAAACATTGTACCCTTTCGACAAGAACTGCACCATTATGCTGCCACAATTAAGGACCTTAGAAATAAGAAAGCCGCAAAAACATAATCTATTATGGAGAAATTTTGTGGAAGTGACCTGTAAAGGCCTCTGGCTGTCTTTTGTTTTTTGTTGTTTTTTTTACCCTTGCTTTGTGTGTATCTCTGCACCCCATGTAGGTTTGTAAGTATCTATGAGTGTATGTCTGTATGTAAGGTTTTGTGTGTCGCACAATAAAAAAAAATAAATAAATAAAAAAGTCTGTTGCTATGGGGCGTTCTATTGAGTTTCGCCTCTTGTTATCCATGCTTTTTGATTTTACTTCGAAAGTCCCCGCAGGAAGCGGTCATTTCAAAGATGGCGCCGGTTATTGTCGCTGCTGACAGCTCGGAGTTTTTCGCGTCGTTGTTCAGTTTTTCCGCCGTTAGTCCCGAACACAGAGTTCCGGTTTGGGTGTCATGAGGAACCGGTTACCGTGCAGTGTTACCGGATGCCTCGTGTGAACCGGACGGCCGTCTTATCGCTGCTGATCGTCAGTAGCTCCGTGTTCCTGCTGTTCCAGTTGTATTACTACCGGAAGTACGTCAGTAAGGTGAGCCACACGTCAACAACACAGCACGCCACAACCAAGGATTTCGATACATTTATTTGGATTCATGTTTTTATCATCATTTACACTTTCCAACATGTCCACTGATGAATAATGACATTCATAAAATAACCTGATTTAGATCAAACAGAAAAGTTTTAAATGACGTCACAGGTCATCTGTGTCAGAATTCAACCACTCAGAGACGATGTGGCTCAGTAGGCTCGTTAGAGATGAACTGCGCCTGGACAGTAGATGAGATCAGCAGGAGGCGGTGACACAAAGCTGCCTCAGGTCAGACAGTTTCCCGACAGTTGCCTGCAGCCTTCAGTCCGTATAGGAAGTCACAGAGATTTTTTTTATTTATTTTTTAATAGCTTTATGTACATATTAAGGTACAATCAAAAACTGTTTATGCCAGGGGATTAAAAAAACAACAGAATACAAAAAAACAGACAATTAAAGGATAATAGATCAATAAACGTACACAGTCATCAATCTTTATAGTACTTACCAAAAACAGAAGTAAACGAGAGCAGGCGGCTGCAGCAGGAGGCGGTGACAAAAAGGTGAAGTTGGACAGTTTCCCAACAGTTTCCAGCAGCCTTCAGTCCGTACAGGAAGTCACAGACACACTAACATCCTGTCTGGAATGATGTCAATTCATTAAAGAAGTGATCAGACCCATATATCAGTTTGTTTTCAGTCTCCAGTTGTTTTAATTATGATAGATTAATTCATTAAAATGCTTTACAGGTGATCTGTAGTTTATGTTCATGGTTTATCCTCCATTTGATATGAACTCTCCTGTAAATCAGCATCATAACAGTCTGTCCTGTCCCCTCAACTACACAGGCTGAATAAACTGTGTTTGACTATAAGCTTCATATTTTATACAAGACAACAGCTTTCATTAAGGCTCAGTCAGATACAGTCAGGGTTTCACATCTGTACACATGTTAGTTTAAGAGTCCTCACATCCCACTGACCACCAGTCTCTGTGTTGCTAAATACTTCAATAATTAAAACAGTCCAGTGTTAATATACAGTAGACTCTGTACAGTTTATGATGAATGTATTCAGTCTGTGACGACTAAACTTCATCAGTCACACAACATGTTTCTGTTCACAGAATAAACCTTCAAATCAGACAAATACAATCTTAATCTCTAAAATTCAACAAAAATGAGTAGTTTATCTAAAACGTCATCTTGTTGAGTCGACATCTGAACCAATCAGCTGTTAGATCAGGTGAGAGCCAGGCGGTGCAGTCGGTGGAGAGCAACTGCAGCACCTTAAATAATTGACTTTATTGTAGTATGTATTCAACAGCATTTTAAATATTGATTATCTGATATGAATCGTATACCTGATGTCTGAATAAACTTTTCCTCTTAACATCTGACCTGTTTGATCCATTTATATTGGTGAGGACAGACTGAATGACAAACTGCTGTCAGTGTAATCCAGTACAGTTCAACAGCACCACAATCTACAACTCAACACTTCAATAAAATGTCAGACTGAATATTAAACTGCTGTTGTTTTTTCTAGGTGCACCAAGTAAACTGTCACGTCTCCATAAAAATGTAGACAGAAAGCATAATGATGAGACAAATGCAGTGAGGGACAGTAACTAAGTATATTTACTCAAGTAGCTACTGTACTTAAGTACAAATCTGATGTACTTGTACTTTGGGTATTTCCATTTTGTGCTACTTTATACTGAGAGGGAAATACTGTACATACTACTCAAGCTACATTTATTTGATAGCTATAGTTACTTTTCAGATAGTTTGTTTTATATGTTGTTGTTTCATATTTACAAGTTGCTGTGGGTTGTTATAGATCAGACTAGTGCACCAGTGACAGCTGTTAAAATTAGTTCTACCATGACAACATTTAAATGCTGCTCGCATGTAGCCTATGTGTAAATTGATTAATTAATACTCAATACGTATTCATGTATATGATGATCACAACACTTGAAATTGGGTCACTCTGCATCATGAGTACTTTTAACTCTTCATTTGAAGTAGTCCTACATTCTGCTGACAATACCCAGATACTTTTACTCAAGTCAGATTTGCAGCACTTTGACTTGTGACTGAGTTTTTGTTCTTTGTTGTGATATTAAAACTTTTTCTGGGTACTTTGTCCACAACTGGACAAACATACCAAACAATAGAGACATGCAAGCATCGCACGTCTCATCCTCATCCTCAGCTGTCTTTCTGGGATCTGCCTCCTCAGCTGGGCAGCCTCCTCCTCAGCTGCAGCCTCCTCCTCAGCCTGCAGGTACAGCAATCCTGCTGCAGTAACTGCGCCAAGACGCCTTCTCCGATCCATGTCAATTATTGATTTTTGATTTCCATCTCGCCAATGCTCACGATCACAATAACCACCAACTCTCCACAAACTTTTCCCCCCCACACCTGGCTTTTGATTATAATCAGAAGCTAGGTGTGGGAATTGGATACAGATTAAATATGATCAAAAGCCAGCTGCGGGGAAAAGGTTTTATAAGACATGTTATGAAAATATTTTGGCTATTTATATGTTTTTGTGTGTCAGTTATGTATGTTGAAACATTAAAAACATGTACATATTAATTTCTTACAATGACAATGAAAAGCCGCAGGGCTGTGTTTATATTGTTTTATTCTAAATGCATGTATACAACACAGTACAACAGCCAAGGCGAGCGGAGGTGGTGACATCATCAAGTTCGCTGCTGTTCCAAAAGCAGAAATGACTGTACTCCCGTCCTCCTGTTCTTTGGAAGTCCGGACTCTTGCATGGACTTGCCAAGTTCTGACTTTGAGAAACACCCAGGAAGCTGATGCTTTTTATTTTTCCTCACATTTCCCATCATTCCTTTCTCCTGCAGCCTGGCCCTCACATCCTGAGTAGAACAGGTCACCTGACCGCCAGCGACATACAATGGGTGAGTCAGCGCTAACATTCACAGCCGCACTGCAGTTAGCATCCCTGCTACCATTGCTGTCAGCTCCACTGTTAGCAACCCTGCTGCTATTACTGTCAGCTCCACTGTTAGCAACCCTGCTGCTATTACTGTTAGCTCCACTGTTAGCAACCCTGCTACCATTGCTGTTAGCTCCACTGTTAGCATCCCTGCTGCCATTGCTGTTAGCTCCACATCACCCTCACTGTTAGCATACCTGTGAGTTTCACTGTGAGCCTCGCTGTTAGCTTCACTGTTAGCATCACCCTCGCTGTTAGCATCACTGTTAGCATACCTGTTAGCTTCACTGTTAGCCTGTCAACCTCAATGTTAGCCTCATTGTTAGCCTGTTAGCATCTCTGTTAGCAGTTCTCTCAGTGGTGTTGTATCTTGTTTTATTTTGAAGGGTTAAAATGTCCAACACCTTGTTTCCTTCCCTTTTCTGGTAGCCGTTGCCATGGTAACCTTCTCTGTCTGGTTTCTGCAGCAGACGGTGAAGCAGTTTCTAGCATTAGCTCGGCGCTACAGGCTGCCACTGTTCCTCGCCGACACCGCCGCACTGACGCTGCTCTCCCACGATGCTTTGCGGCAGCATGACCGGCTGGTGCATGAGCCACACTGCAGCTTCCTGTGCACCGGCCGGCCAGTCACATCATTCGCACTGCATGCGAATCTGTGGAAGTATGAAGTGAGTGATGCGTTCACGACAACACGTAACATTAACATATAACAGTGGTCATCTGTCGTGTGGAGCTAATGCTAAAATAAAAAATATAACATTTATAAATAAAAGTCTTATGATTAGCTACAGGTTAATATTTAGTTTTTTGTCCATTAGCCCGGCTTCCTATTGGCTGCAGAGCAGAAAGGCTTCGAGCTGCTGGAGCTGCGAGGAGAGGACCCACGATTAGCCAGTCTGGATACCCTATCAGGAGAGGAGATCCCTCTGCACTTCCTGCTCCGCCTCCATGGTTACATCATTCAGGTGGGTGGGGCCACAACACCAAAAAACATAGAGGCTGCGGTCGAAAAGTCCCTCCTATTGTCTTTTCCTAACCACTTTTCCTTGACCTCAATGGAAAACGTCACGAGGTCAAGGGAACATGTGAAGGAGAATTCATAAGGACTCGGGAAAAGACAACTGTGGTGCTGAGAGAATCCGACCGCACTTACACTGGGCTACGTAATGATGCAACGGCGGATGTTATTGACGTGGGTCTGCTGTGGTGAAACTACAGTGTTCTGAAGATGGACTACAAAAAGCGCATCTTAGATATTGCGCCCCGTACGTTCTTATCATGTTGATTCATGCAGGATATATAAACGTGGACAACACGGCGAAAGAATTGCTGCAGGTATTTAATAACCTCAGGCAGATATCTTTTAACGTTACAGTCTTTTGTATTTTTTGTTATGATGCTTCCGCTGTAGCTCTGCAGGGAAACACTGTACAGGGGAATACAAAGTGGGAAGCTGCACATTTACGCACGAGGCACAGCAATGTTACTTCATTGATTATCTATCTATTATTTTCAATTCAATTTTATTTATATAGCACCAAATCACAACAAAAGTCATCTCAGGGCACTTTACACATAGAGCAGGTCTAGATAATACTCCTGAATCTATCTATCTATCTATCTATCTATCTATGCCATAAGCATAGCCGATGCCAATGTTTTGAGATGCAGTAGGGGCAGATAATATAGATATAACAATAAATTCTAAAAACAAGTAGGTTTCTGGTTTTGGTTTAATTTCTATATCAATTAGCCATTTGAAGATGAAAATGGTAAAAGCACGTGGATTTCCGTTTTTTCTCATTCACACGAAAATCGGAAAATTAAAATAATGCATTGTATATTTGTATATTTGTTTATCCTGTTATAAAACAAGTTAAACAAAGCTGTGGACGGAGGGTACACCAGTAGTAGCGAAACGTTCATAGTTCGCATCTAAGTTTAACATAATGTTGAAAGTTGAAAACATACAGCATATGAAGAAGTTATGGCATCATAATGTTGATCTTTATCTTTCCTAATCATTGGAGTTTGTGAATGGTGTGTCGCTTGGTCGCTTTAAATATTGCCGCCGTAAGGACTTGTGGGACGGAATCATCTCCTTTCCTTTCATAAAGGATGGTCCAGTGTACCCCATGCTAAAGGAGATTGGAAAGGAAGCAGTGAAGCACCTTTCCTTAAAATTTTGAGAGTTCGACCAGCTCTTAACATGGCTGCCACTGAGATGCTTCCAGGTCATTTCACGCAGTTAGGGAACCTTCCTAAGCAAAAAAGACTATTCGACCGCAGCCACAGTAACCACATAGAATCCAGTACAGCAACAAACACTAAGTGGGCGGCCATATTGAATATGATTGTTCCAGGTGGTGTCAGTAAATATATTTAGTCTCACGTGGTGTCAGTATTTAGTCTTAGGTGGTGTCAGTAAATATATTTAGTCTCAGGTAGTGTCAGTAAATATATTTAGTCTCAGGTGGTGTCAGTAAATATATTTTGTCCAGGTGGTGTCAGTAAATATATTTAGTCTCAGGTGGTGTCAGTAAACATATTTAGTCTCAGGTGGTGTCAGTAAATATATTTTTTCCAGGTGGTGTCAGTAAATATATTTTGTCCAAGTGGTGTCAGTAAATATATTTAGTCCCAGGTGGTGTCAGTAAATATATTTTGTCCAGGTGGTGTCAGTAAATATATTTTGTCTCAGGTGGTGTCAGTAAATATATTCAGTCGCAGGTGGTGTCAGTATTTAGTCTTAGGTGGTGTCAGTAAATATATTTAGTCTCAGGTGGTGTCAGTAAATATGTTTAGTCTCAGGTGGTGTCAGTATTTAGTCTTAGGTGGTGTCAGTAAATATATTTAGTCTCAGGTGGTGACAGTAAATATGTTTAGTCTCAGGTGGTGTCAGTATTTAGTCTTAGGTGGAGTCAGTAAATATGTTTAGTCTCAGGTGGTGTCTGTAAATATATTTAGTCTCAGGTGGTGTCAGTAAATATATTCAGTTTCAGGTGATGTCAGTATTTAGTTTTAGGTGGTGTCAGTAAATATATTTTGTCTCAGGTGGTGTCAGTAAATATATTTTGTCTCAGGTGGTGTCAGTAATTAGTCTTAGGTGGTGTCAGTAAATATATTTAGTTTCAGGTGGTGTCAGTAAATATATTTTGGCTCAGGTGGTGTGAGTCAATATATTTAGTCTCAGGTGGTGTCAGTATATATATTTTGTCCAAGTGGTGTCAGTAAATATATTCAGTCTCAGGTGGTGTCAGTAAATATATTTAGTCCCAGGTGGTGTCAGTAAATATATTTTTTCCAGGTGGTGTCAGTAAATATATTTAGTCTCAGGTGGTTTCAGTAAATATATTTAGTCTCAGGTGGTGTCAGTATTTAGTCTCAGGTGGTGTCAGTAAATATATTTAGTCTCAGGTGGTGTCAGTAAATATATTCAGTCTCAGGTGGTGTCAGTCAATATATTTAGTCTCAGGTGGTGTCAGTAAATATATTCAGTCGCAGGTGGTGTCAGTCAATATATTTAGTCTCAGGTGGTGTCAGTAAATATATTCAGTCTCAGGTGGTGTCAGTCATTATATTCAGTCTCAGGTGGTGTCAGTAAATATATTCAGTCTCAGGTGGTGTCAGTAAATATATTTAGTCTCAGGTGGTGTCAGTAAATATATTCAGTCTCAGGTGGTGACAGTAAATATATTCAGTCTCAGGTGGTGTCAGTAAATATATTTAGTTTCAGGTGGTGTCAGTAAATATATCTTGTCCAGGTGGTGTCAGTAAATATATTTTGTCCCAGGTGGTGTCAGTATTTAGTCTCAGGTGGTGACAGTAAATATATTCAGTCTCAGGTGGTGTCTGTAAATATATTCAGTCTCAGGTGGTGTCAGTTTTCAAATAAAAATAAAAAGAAAAAATAAAATAAAAAGTTTGTGCTCTAGAGAAAGGATCAGCACTCAGTGAATAACCTCCTAAGCCCTATGATGAGCTAATATGGCAAGGCTTAACTATACAGACCAGTGAGCAGTGATAACTAGCATGTCTTTGGGGTCATCAGGTGGGAACCTCCTTTCACCAGTGTTTCGTCTACTTGGTCCCACGACACCTCCAGGAGGCTAGACAGTGATCTCTGGCGTCCCAGAGACACTCCCCTAATGTCAGGTCTCACTGCTCCTCACACCAACCCAATAATCTCCTTTACCTTACTTACACATGGCTTTCTCAGCCCAAACAGCACTGCCACCTTCAACCAAACCCAGGCTCCGTACATGCGAGCTCCAGGTAGAGACAGTGCTGATACTACCTTTCCTAGCACATTCACCATACTCTATTTCACACACTACATAGCATAACTACAATATAAGCTAAAGTTAAAGGAGATAGATAAAGTCACAGGATCAGCAAACACACTCACCTTGCAGCATGGTCTCAAACAAAAGGGATTCAAATAGGCCACTCCCACACTTAAATGGTAAATGGACCTGCATTTGTATAGCGCCTTTCTAGTCATCTAGTGACCACTCAAAGCACTTTTTACACTACGAGTCACGTTCACCCATTCACACACACATTCATACACTGGTGGCCGAGGCTACCATACAAGGTGCCACCTGCTACTCAGTTTTACCACACTCACACACCGATGGAACAGCCATTGGGAGCAATTTGGGGTTCAGTATCTTGCTTAAGGATGTTTCAACATGCAGCCTGGAGGAGCCCGGGATCAAACCACTGATCTTTCAATTGGTGGACGATTGCTGTGGCTCTACCTCTGAGCAACAGCCACCCCACAAGCTAACAGCACCAGGTATTCCCAGGAGGTCTCCCATCCAAGTACTGGCCCGGCCCGACCCTGCTTAGCTTCTGAGATCGGACGAGATCGGGCGTATTCAGGGTGGTATGGCCGTAAGCACAAGAAATAACCTTCCTCTTCCTGGATTTTCTCCTAAGAGGAAGTGGATCTCTCCACCTGATCTCAAGGAGTTCTCACCCAGATCCATTGGCTTGCTCTACCTGCTTCATCTGACATTTCCTTCACTGTCTTCCTCAAACTCCCAGGAGTGAGACAGCTGATCTTGCTATGAATCCCCTACACCCCACTTCCACTGGACAAATCCTAGTCTTCCATCCTCGCTGCTCAGCTTCTGCTCCTAAGTCTGCATATCTAAGCTTTTTTCTTTCATAGGCTTCTTCCACTGAGTCTTCCCAAGGAACTGTCAGCTCAATGAAATAAACTATCTGTTGACTCACTGACCACAACACTAAGTCAGGCCTCTGCCTGGTACAGACTATTTCCTGAGGAACAACAAGCTTTCCCCCTAAATCTACTTGCATTTCCCAATCACAAGCACCTTCTAGGCGGCCACACCCTTGCCTCCTCACTAACTTATCCCTTCTGTATTTCTCTCCCTCACGGACAAACTGAATTACTAAGCCCCTATCCTTAACACCTTCTGAATTCACCTGTCTTCGTTTCCCTTCGATGCCTGCAGCTAAACATTTCAACACCTGATTATGTCGCCATGTATATCGGCCTTGTGACAAGCTAACTTTACAGCCTGACAAAATATGCTTTAAAGTTGCGGTACGTGAACACAATGGGCATGATGGGTCCTCATTTACCCACAGTTTTAGGTTCTGGGGGGTTGGTAACACATCGTATGTAGCCCCTACCAGGAATCTAATACGATTCTCCTCCATACTCCACAGGTCCCTCCAACTAAGCTTCCTCTTCTCTACACTTTCCCAATTCAACCACTGTCCCTGTTTAGCCTGGGCCACTACCTTTGCACCCCTTACTATCTCTTCCTGTCTGCGTATCTGTTCTACAACCAGCTTTCTTTTATCTTTGAGGCCTGCTGTATTCCATACCGGTTTACCTGAGCCAAGCCCCAGGCCTCCCCGGCCAAACTGAACATTACCTACAATCTCTGCATGTCTAAGAGCTGCCTCTGCCTCCTGAACTGCCGATCTTGGGTTCCACTTCCTCCCCTTGGTTGGATTTGGAACCACACTCCTAACTACCACGTCCTTACTCCCAGATAACAAGAGCTCTGTCCTGACCTTGGTACATTTAAATTCCTCTGTTAAACTAGATACTGGCAGCTGAAGTATCCCTTTTCCATACAATGCAACACTACTTAGGCACCTAGGAGCGCCCAACCACTTCCTAATGTAGGAGCTAACCGACCTTTCCATTCTCTCCACAACAGATATTGGAATTTCATAAACTGACAATGGCCACATTAACCTAGGATATAGCCCAAATTGCAAACACCACAACTTCAACTTTCCTGGAAGTTCTGATTTATCTATTCTATCCAATCCTTCAGCCACATCTTTTCTAAATTTCACCACCTGTTCCTTATCATTCAACTCTACATTGTACCACCTACCTAAGCTCTTTACTGACTTTTCCCTAATTGTTGGGATGTCCTCATCATCTATGACAAACTTCCTATCACTTAACTTCCCTCTACATATCGAGATGCTTCTAGATTTACTAGGCTTGATTTTCATGCTGGCCCACTTGAGGTTCTTATTTACCTTCTCTAGTAGCCTCTTTGTACATGGCATTGTTGTGGTCACCAGTGTCATGTCATCCATGTAAGCCCTAACTGGTGGAAGATGCAACCCATTCTGCCGTCTCTCCCCACCTACCACCCACTTAGAAGCCCTGATGATTACTTCCATTGCCATAGTAAATGCTAATGGAGAAATTGTACACCCTGCCATGATGCCTATTTCTAGCCTCTGCCAACCTGTTGTGAAACCTGCTGTACTTAGACACAACCTAATATCCTGAAAATATGCTTTCACTAAGTTAACAACTACCTGTGGCACTCTGAAGTAGTCAAACGCACTCCAAATGAGGCTGTGCGGTACTGAACCAAACGCATTTGCAAGATCTAAAAATATTACATGTAGGTCCCTTTTGTTAATCTTCGCTGCCTGAATCTGGTGCCAGATCATGCTAGTATGCTCTAAACACCCTGAAAAACCTGGTATTCCTGCCTTCTGCACCATGGTATCTATTAAGCTATTCCTTTCTAAGTAGCTAGCTAGTCTCTGCGCTACTACACTAAAGAAAATCTTCCCCTCCACATTCAAGAGAGAAATCATCCGGAACTGGCTAAGGTCCACAGACTCCTTCTCCTTAGGAATGAGGACACCCCCTGCCCTACGCCATGCTCTTGGTATAATTTGTTTTTCCCAAACTATTCTTAGCTGTTTCCACAAAAATTTAAGGGTATCAGGCGCACTTTTATAAACCCGGTAGGGGACTCCATTAGGCCCTGGGGCCGAAGAAGCCTTTGCACGCCTGACCACCTCCTGAACTTCCTTCCACCTAGGTGGCCTGACATCCATCTCATGCTCTATCCCTCCTAATGGAGGGATATCAGGTGGGAAACCTACTATCCTATTCTTCTCCAAATCTGAATACGTGTTTCTCAAATATTCTTCAACCTCTAACCTTTCTGCTTTAAGCTGCCCTCCCTTTTCCTGGCTGAACAATCCTTTAACAAACTTAAAAGGGTCCCTGAAAAAACCTGTCCTAGCATATTCCTTCTTCCTCCTCTTTTTCCTGAGATGCTCCGCCCTTCTAAGAACTGCTAGCCTGCTTCTCAACTCCTCTTGCAACACCTTAATTCCCTCCCTTTCTTCTTCTGTAGCCTTTTTCCACTGCTTTCTTAACTGTCTCCTTTCCTTGACTAACTTCTCTATTTCTCTCTGCCGCCTAGACTTACCTGACTGTACCCTCTCACTCCTCTTTCTCTCATGCACCCCAAACCTCTCTACACCATATGAATACATTATATCTCCCATCTTTTCTAACCTTTGTATTGCATTTCCTCTAAGCCTACTCAAGATTACTGACAAGTCTCTATTAACTATCTCCCATTCTTTACTGTCATTTGCTCTAGGCCATCTAACTCTAACCTTTTGCTCCATAGTTCTTTCTCTGGCTAGCATACTGGCCTCAGTGTCACCTGCATCCTCTCTTACTACCCCCTCCTCCTCAGTGGCAGCGTTACTGATATCCTGCGAACTGTGGTTTTCTACCTGCCGCTGGACTTCATCCGACTGACTCGACTGACTTCTTAGGAAGTACTGATCAATGCGGCTACTCTGCCCTTTCTTTGCCACACACTTCTTCTTTCCCTGATGAGTTCTGAGGCCTTTCACTGATGTTACTTTCTGCCAGCCGCAAGGACAAACCTGAAGCATCTTGTTCTCAACTATGCTACTTTTGCCCTCTACAGATGCGCTCACCTTGCCCTGAGTGCTGCTAATTCTAGCACTGGTGGATAGGTCCGTGCCCCTATCCTTCACTGAGTCACCGGTCCAAGTCATAGTCGTGTCCTTTCCAATGTCTGTTACCGTGTAATCCACCTGTGAGTCATCTTCCACCCCTGCTCTCGCTGACTCTTGGGGTATTTTCCCTATGTTGGCTGTAGCTAATTTTGGTTGTAATAAGGCTGCTAGGCCTCACCACTGCTACCATGGGTTGCTAACCCATGCCAGCACCGCTGGGGTCTTTTCCCTCCTGTCAGCTGTCTTTCCAAGCGGTCACATGGTCTTTCCCTTGTTGTCAGCTGCCCTATTCACAGCAGTCACTAGCTGGGCTAGTTCTGAATTCAAATAAACACAAGAAGTTTGTGCTCTAATAAAAAAAAAAAAAAAAGGGATCAGCACTCAGTGAATAATCCTCCTAAGCCCTACGATAAGCTATTATGGCAAGGCTTAACTATACAGACCCGTGAGCAGTGATAACTAACATGTCTTTGGGGTCATCGGGTGGGAACCTCCTTTCACCGGTGTTTCGTCTAGTTAGTCCCACGACACCTCCAGGAGGCTAGACAGTGATCTCTGGCGTCCCAGAGACACTCCCCTAATGCCAGGTCTCACTGCTCCCCACACTAACCGAACAACCTCCTTTACCTTACCTATACTACCACAGAGGAGGTAGACCCAGGGAAGGAAGCCTTGTTAGGCTATCACACTCCCCCGCCGGGTTAGGCTGTACAGTCTACCTCCCCAGGACGAGCCCTCACAACAATGACACCTCCAGGAGGCTGGACAGTGATCTCAGCCCAAACAGCACTGCCAACTTCAACCAAGCCCAGGCTCCGTTTATGCGAGCTCCAGGCAGAAGCAATGCTGATACTACCTTTACTAGCACATTCACCATACTCTATTTCACACGCTACATAGCATAACTACAATGTAAGCTAAAGTTAAAGGAGATAAATGAACTCACAGGATCAGCAAACACACTCACTTTGCAGCATGGTCTCAAACAAAATGGATTCAAATAGGCCACTCCCACACTTAAATAACCTTCCTCTTCCTGGATTTCCTTCTTACTTACACATGGCTTTCTCAGCCCAAACAGCACTGCCATCTTCAACCAAACCCAGGCTCCATACATGCGAGCTCCAGGCAGAAGCAATGCTGATACTAGCTTTCCTGTCACATTCACCATACTCTATTTCACACACTACATAGCATAACTACAATATAAGCTAAAGTTAAAGGAGCTAACTGGACTTACAGGATCAGCAAGCACACTCACCTTGCCGCATGGCCTCAAACAAAATGGATTCCAATAGGCCACTCCCACACTTAAATACTTCCTCTTCCTGGATTTCTCCTGACAGGAAGTGGATCTCTCCACCTGATCTCAAGGAGTTATGTGCCCTGCTTAGTAGTTCCCCCTGCTGGCCCCCAGCTGACATTATTTCTTCTGTAATAGATAAACTGGCTGCATTTAATTGCTTCATCTGACATTTCCCTCACTGTCTTCCTCAAATTCTGTCCCCGCACTCCGAGTTCCCCCAGGAGTGAGACAGTTGATCTTGCTATGAATCCCCTACACCCCACTTCCACTGGACAAATCCTAGTCTTCCATCCTCGCTGCTCAGCTTCTGCTCCTAAGTCTGCATATCTAAGCTTTTTTCTTTCATAGGCTTCTTCCACTGAGTCTTCCCAAGGAACTGTCAGCTCAATGAAATAAACTATCTGTTGACTCACTGACCACAACACTAAGTCAGGCCTCTGCCTGGTACAGACTATTTCCTGAGGAACAACAAGCTTTCCCCCTAAATCTACTTGCATTTCCCAATCACAAGCACCTTCTAGGCGGCCACACCCTTGCCTCCTCACTAACTTATCCCTTCTGTATTTCTCTCCCTCACAGACAAACTGAATTACTAAGCCCCTATCCTTAACACCTTCTGAATTCACCTGTCTTCATTTCCCTTCGATGCCTGCAGCTAAACATTTCAACACCTGGTTATGTCGCCATGTATATCGGCCTTGTGACAAGCTAACTTTACAGCCTGACAAAATATGCTTTAAGGTTGCGGTACCTGAACACAATGGGCATGATGGGTCCTCATTTACCCACAGTTTTAGGTTCTGGAGGGTTGGTAACACATCGTATGTAGTCCCTACCAGGAATCTAATACGATTCTCCTCCATACTCCACAGGTCCCTCCAACTAAGCTTCCTCTTCTCTGCACTTTCCCAATTCAACCACTGTCCCTGTTTAGCCTGGGCCACTACCTTTGCACCTCTTAATACCTCTATCTAGTAAATATATTTAGTCTCAGGTGGTGTCAGTAAATATATTTTGTCTCAGGTGGTGTTCCTGTACGAGCGCAGTGGGAACTACCTGTGGCACGGAGCGTTACGCCTCAAAGCCAACATGGACCGAAGCTTCGCTCCCTTCAAACGTCTGGACTTCGGACGCCATGCTGGCGCCTACGACAGGTGAAACTTTATGTTCCGTGTCATCAAGTGTCGTTAATGAAACAGCTGATGGATTTAACATGTTTGTTTTGTGTGGTTGCCCCCTGCAGGCCAGAGCTGGTTCTGACTGTCCTGGACGGCCTCGACATTCGAATCCCACGGAACGTTTCACGTTTTCTGTCAGAGCAGCGACACGCTCGCTTCCTGGAGTGCCGGTACCGTGACGCCCGCAATTTCCTGCAGGTCAGACAGAGCACCGGGCTTTTATTATGAAAGGGTGTAAAGGAAACACGTGTGTTAAAGGTGCAGTAAGTGATTCTGAGGAAGGATCGGTTATAGAAAGACATCTGAACGGTAAAATAAATTTTATAAATTGTTAACGATGTTTATTATAACGTGTTAACAATGTTTATTATAATATGTTAACGGTAGCTGCTGTGTACCAAAAAGCTATGATAACATTGATGAAACCATGTCATCCGAATCTTCATGGAGTATTCATTCAGGCTCCTACACAGACACACGTGACGCGAGTTGACAAACCCCCCTCCTCACTATGCTGGCTGTGTTTACAATGTAGGACTGTTGGGGCGGGTGTAAATCCAAACAAACCAGTCACGTCTTGTCTTTTGACAACTGACAAGTGGCTCAACCTCACACAAGAATAAGTCAGACTATTGGTGGAGGTAATAGTACACCAATGATGACATATTTATGTATGCAGACATCGATTTTTGCCAATAAACTGAAAATGTTACACAGTGTCCCTTTAATGATGTTTATTATAACATGTTAATGATGTGTATTAAAAGGTGTTAATGATGTTTATTCTAATGTGTAAACAATGCTGAGTATAAGGTGTTAACGATGATTATTATTAAGTGTCAATGATGTTTATTGTAACATGTTAACAATGTTGATTATAAAGTGTTAAAGGCTCTCTAAGTCTTCTTAAGCTTGAAAAGTTTTTTCACATACAGCAAACATCTCCTCACAATTCGCTAGCTACATGTCCTCTGAATATGCTGTGGAAAAAGTCTGGTCTCTGTAGGCAGCCCAGGCTCCGCACATGGCAACAAAGACATTGTGGTCCAGGCTGCACCAACCAGCCAGCGCGAGACCAGTGAAAGCAAGCACACACACATGAACGTGGTGCCCATGTCTCACCGTCTCGCGCAAGCGTGCACACGTGAACACGGTGCCCAGAGAGGCAGTTAGAGCTACAGGCTACAATGAGGCTAAAAGGCGAGCAAGCTCCGTTGTGTTTGATAACATTGTTGAACGTAAACAGAAGTGTCTTTGTTGCCATTTGCGGAGCCTGGGCTGCCTACAGAGACCAGACTTTATCACAGTATATTCAGAGGACATGTAGCTAGCGGATCGTGAGGAGATGTGTGCTGTATGTGAAAAAAAACTTTTAAAGCTTAGGAAGACTTAGAGAGCCTTTAATGATGCTTATTATAATGTTTTAATTATGTTTATTATAACATGTTAACAAGTCAACGAAATGTAGAAAAACATCTCATAAATGTATCTCTGTCCGTTGTGTGTGAACGTAGCTCTACCCTGACGACACATCAGCGGACGCTGTCGATTTTCGGAGAAAAGTGAAGTCATTGCTTCATTTGGCTGCTCAGACACTCGCTCACCTCAACATCCCCTTCTGGCTCAGCAGCGGCACCTGTCTAGGTAACATGCTAACGTAACAGGACAACAACATGCTGAATTCACAGAATGACCACATATAACATGCTAACTTTGCAGTAAAATAACATATAACATGTTAACTTTACAGTCTTACAACATGTAACATGCTACAGGATAACAACATGCTAACTTTAGAGTATAACAACATGCTTACGTGCTAACTTTAGAGTATAACATGTTAACTTAATATGCTGGTGAAAGGGTGTAAGTGGCTTACTTTGTTTTTTAAGTGTCAGATCACTGTATCATGTCCATAGTTATGGTCTGTGGTGGTTTGCAGTGGTCGGTAGTTATACATATATATA